CCTAACAGAATAATGTTTATTGTTGTTGTAGTACTCAATTGAAAATCAATCTGAATTGAACTATAATATCCCATCCGGATCAAAAGTTAAAAATAAAAACGAGTTATTTTATTAAGTTCATGGTTCAGATAGCAGAATTCGGTAGAAGACAGAAGCAGATACATGAAATTTGGAATTAGATTTACTTCAGGCAGTCAACGGGAGTTATGCATTTGGGTTCAGAATTGTGAGTGTGGTTATCATAACAAATGCATTTTCCATTTTTACACGCAGCTCCACTTCGGCATTTGGTCTCCCAACTGCAATCACGGTCACTGCTGCATTCTTGCCCCATTGCTATGCCTGCACAATCATTTTACACAAAATAACACAACAGAATTAATTTATGTCACCTACTGTTAAATTACCAGTCTCTTTTAGTCACATTAATATTGTTAATACAAGTTTAATCACATTAATCAAATTCTGAATCGTTATCAGTAAAAAATTGTAGAAAGTTAAAGAAAACAAATCATGAATAATGTGACTTATCTCAAATCTTATGCTCACTCTTATTTCTTTAATATATATGCATATGATTTGATTGAATAGTATAACCAACAAGAAAAATATAGCACATTTTTTACTAGCAAGTATTGTTGGTCCAAAATGTATTACACCTTGCGAAAAGTTGATAGCATTAAATTCTTCTTTTCCATGAATATTCTTATTAAATTATATTGCAAAGAGATTATATAAAGGTAATTAAAATAGATTGATTTTAATTGAAAGGTGGTTTTAAAAATTAGTGATTTTTTCTACGATCTTAATGATACAGATTATTTTTTAACTACTTTTTTTAATATTTGTGAAATAGTTAAAAATGTCATGTATATATGATCAATAAATACAAATATGAAATTTCTAACAAGCAATGTAAACAAGTGACAAAATCCTCAAGCTCTATATAACTATTTTTTTTTAATATCACCTTAAGAAAGTGATAATTACCGTAAAATGCAGATGATGCAAGAAGAACAAGAAAGAGAGCTGATGTCAAAGAAATTTTTTCCATAATTTCTTTCTTTTGGGGATATATTAAAATAAAAGCCAAGAGAAATACTTGTGCTTCTTGCAATATTAGTTCAGCTCCTCTTAAATAGTAGTACTATATGGTAATATTTTCTCATTTAGAAAATACATAATAGCATTTAACCTAGAAGATTTCAATAATGGAAAAACTAACGAAAAATAATGCCTTAAATGATTTGCACATGATTCAAGGTTCATTCCATGTTCTTGAGAGTTTAATTATATAATTATATAATTTAAGATAAATGGTCAAATTTAACTCCTAAATAATAGATATAGAAGGGGACCTAGTAATCTAGAACCTACCATTAACAAAAATTAACTTTAACCATTAATTGACTATAAAATGATAGAAAATGACATTAAGAATTAAAAAAATGATCAATAAAAAATTTCTATCTTTTTCTATAAATTTTTGAGTCCTTTATTATAATTTATTGTTCTTTTTTATAAGTTTTTTCTTGTCAATTTTTGTTTAACTAACGTCAAAATTAATTTTTGTTAACGACAAGGGTCAAATTATATTGTTTTCAAAAATTAAAGGGGGACATTTCTAAAAATAAAGATACAATCCCAGACGCTCCTAGACCTATAATTTAGGAGTTAATTTACTCTCAAGAACATGGAATGAACCTTGAACCATGTGCAAATCATTTAAGACATTATTTCTTAGTTAGTTTTTCAACTATTGAAATCCTCTAGAATGATTCTCTTATCCTTGATATAAGGTATTTCTTTTGTTCTAAATTATAAGACATTTTTAGTGAAGATTCAAAGTCCTAAAGTATAAAACATTTTGAGAAGATTAAGATTTTATTAAATAAACTTATTTTAATATTATATTTTCTCTCTATTTAATCTCAGTCCTTCTCTTTTTTCAATATATTAAATGAAGGATACTTTTAAAAATTTATAATTTTTGTGTTTTAAAAATAAGGTTATTAAATGTATTTAATAAAATTATTTATTAGTGTATAAGATTTTGTTGAAAAATGTCTCATAATTTGAAACGGGGGAGAGTAATTGATGGGATATTATATTAAGGATTAAGTTACAAAAAAGCCTTCAATGTTTCCACCCAAGTGCACCCCATATCTTAAAGTATTTTCTAGAGTAATTTTGCCCCAACATTTTTTGAAATAGTACAATATCACCTTGAGCTAACAGGTCCAAACATTTGATCATTAATTGACTTATTTTGTTGATATGGCATGCTTAATTGGCATATTTTAAAAATAAAAAATTGAAAAAAGAAAGAAAAAGTGATACATCTTGGCAAATGTTTCATCTTCATTATACCTTTAAGACATTAGTGACCATGGCAACATAATAAGAACAACAATGCATAACATGGCAACAAAATCATAATCAACAATTTAGATCGCATGGAGTCTTAGAATAAGAAAAACCCAAATTGAACAAGCAAGTAAGCAAAAACAATCTTCAAATACTACCTAGATCAAGAATAAAACCTAGATCTAAGAGCCATAGACGCTTTCCTTCATATGAACTAGGAAGAGATTCAGCAAAAGGAAAATTTGAATCAATCAAATTCACCCAAAATTTTCCCTAAAAATTTGATTCAAAAACCTACCCTTCAGCTTGAATACATGTTATAAAATTAAAATAAATTTTAATTTAAGATCTTAATTAGTCAATTGTCATAAGAAGAGGTTAATTATAGAGTTTAGATGGCCATTTGAATCTATTGATCCTCTATGAGGTTTAAAATGGGGCCTAAGGAACTATTGAGTCTTTTTAGGCCCAAATTAATGAGCTTAAGAGTGATGGAATTTTAAATTTCAAGTCTATAGTTCGTGAACATAGATAAAGAGGGTTTTTGAGTAAGGAATCGAGATGAAGGAGTAGAGCTTTACTAAGGTTTCGTTTTGAGGGCCTTTGGGGGTGATTTGAAGCCTCCAAATCATTAGGTAAGCCTCTTTCTTCTTCTTCTATCACTATAAGCATCTCTTTTCTGGCTTGGTTTTTGGGAGTGGTGTTGTCTAAAATACTTTAATGAGCCACTTTAATGACTTCAATGAAGTCTAATAAGGGTTATTTAAATCTCTTATATGTAGTCTTAGTGGTTGGTAACATTAAATGCAATTAATAAGGGATTTAGAGTTAACCCTAATGCTAAATAATCAAGTTGATGGAACTAACTATCAATTTTTATTAAGCTTATTAAAAGTTAAATAAGCTAATGGAAAATAGTTTGGGGGATAGTTATGCTTAATCATGCCTAATAAGGGTATTAGGCCTTAATAATGATTAAAAGTTAATTAATAATCATTAGTTATTAATTCTATTTTTGGATTATTGCTTGTAGAGTGATTGTTTTTGGAGCTTGTGTTAGTGGAAAGCTCCATTGGGAAATCCAAAGTTATACTATTGGGATGATAAACTCAAGAATTGATGTAATTGAGAATTTAATTTTAACATATGATTTTGCTTGCTTAATGAAATGTTGTATTATTATTGATGGCATAGTATGACGTTAAAATTTTGAGCTTGCACATATGCCTTATTGGTTGATATGTGAGTATTGAAAATTGACTTTTGGTAATGAAGTTATGCTTGGTGATTGTATGAGTCACTCAATATTATGGGCTAAAATGCTCAGGCAATAGTTATGCGCTCATGAGATATTGATTTTATGATTGGGCATGATGATTGTTATAGTAAAATGCATGCAAGTTCTTGAGCTATATAAATTAATATGCCATGTATATGTGATTGCCTAAGATGTTGAGAATCACGAACATTTGGGCCAGTTCTAATCCGTTCGAAAAAAAAGTTAAGGTTGGATTTGATTATATGACTTTTGTTAAAAGGGTATGATGCTTGATTCGAATAAACTCGGCCCAAATTGAGCTCAACTTAAATAAGCCCAACTGTTAAAATTTCTAGCTCTATATGTATATAAAGTATGTAATTTTGGCCAAACCCGAAGGGTCAGCCTGAACTCGATAGAAAAAAGTCAAGTTCTGGCTTGATTATATGAGTTTTTTTAAAAGGGTATACTATTTTAAATCTGATCTGAATAAGTCCAACCTAAATTGAGTTCAATCCATTCCAATTACCGGCGCTACCTTTTATCATTTATATTAAAATGTATATTTAGAGCCAAGAGGCACTGGCCCTTTGGATTACGATAGACAAATGTTTAACCTGTTAATTCTCTTCCTTCAATTATTAAAATCCCCTGAATTTATATTCACAGAACGAACCCTGCCACAGCGTTGAGCTATATTTTAAAGTGAAATAATTAAATTGTGTAATTTAAAGACATTTGATTTGCAATGCTCATAAACGTTCCATTCTTGGAAGGATTTGCAATGATACAATGGCTGATTTAAGGAAAAAGAAGACGAGCTGAATCGAAAAGAAGAATATTAAATTAAACCTTGAAAGAAAGGGTTTCAAACTACTTTGTTATTTCTTCAAGTTACTCGGCCTCAACTTCTAGTGGTATGTGCAGAAAACATTAGTGAATTTGATGCAACGAAGAAAAGTGTTGTGCCCAAAAACACGAGTTCCTTGAACTCGTAATATATGCAACTACAACGAAAAAGTGTTTCTCAATATGTGATCTCCGATGTTTTCAAACACACGGAATCGTGAGTCATCCTTGGTTTTGACACGAAGATAACAGCGTGTTTATTGTAATGGAAGTACTGGTTATAAATACTTTTCTGGCTTATTAATGAATTGTACTGCATAAATCCATCATTAAGTTGCTGTAAAATTTCCCAAAACATCAAGTTTCAATTTTTCTGAGGTCGTATTTTGTTGTGAAGAAGCACCAGGAACGCCCAGAGTACATGGACTGCCGAAGAATACAAAAGTTGGAGTCCCACATCAGGAAGGAGTCAAGTTGGGGAGGGGGAGAGAGAATATAAAAAGAAAGGAAGGATTACAATTAGAGCTTACATACCTGGATGGAGTCAATGGGTGATCACGAAGGCCCATGGCTTAGACCTGGGACCTCCATTGCACTTGGGAGGGGCCCAAGTCTAAGGTCTGCCTAAATGGTAGAGCCTACATCATAATTTGTGGCAGTGGGGGCTTGTGTTCGCACGGCCCCTTCCTTATTCTAAGCCCATGATTAATCGTTTTAGTAGGCGCTTAGTTAAAAGTTTTTGGGTGTGCTTTTGTTTTACAGTTTAGTTTATAAGGATTAGGTTTATAACCCATTAGGTTGTTGTGGAGCATGTAAAATATTAGGAAAATTATTTTTGTAATAATGTTATTTTTAAATTATTCTTATTTAAAAGCATTTTTTAGTACAAAATATTAATAGAAAAAATTAGCAGATTTTTGGAGCCTGAGTTGGAAGGAAATTATTAGTGGTTCATAATAGTTTGGGGAAAAACCCACAAAAACGTGTGTACTTGAAACTAATTTTAAATGTGTCTTGAATCCAATTTTAAGGAAGGGGATGGATTGGATTCTAATTTTAAGCTCGAGGTGCCAAATGTACATATTTCACATTTTAAGCTTAACTTTAAATGTGTCCTGAATCCATCATTTTGTACTATAAATCTGGGTATATATATCATATATTAACAGTGTCTTGATAGAACTACGTATAATGTGTAAGGTTAGAAATGTCAATTAGGATTGGTCTAGTGTTTAATAGCTCAAACTTATTAACTCATTCTTTAAGTTGACCGTATTTTTATCTTGAAAAGATTATTATGCCAATACAAAATTTTATAAATCGTCTTTTAGATTTTAATTTAAAAATTAAAGTAAATTAAACAATTTCAACCATGTTATTTATTTTATTCTATCACCAGTGATATCTCGCCTATATTATTCCAAACCCCTACTATGAAATTGTTATTACCAACAATAATTTCATAAGTACCTTAGGAATGTTGTCTTTGGTACATTTGTTTTATGTAATTTTATATCATTGGATTTAAACTTGAGATCATTAGATAAGCAGAATAAACACTCTTGACCCATTAAACTAAGCATCTCTTGGTAATTTCAACCATGTTATTTAATGTTAAATGTTTTAACAAGAAACTTTTAAACAATTTGAACCACATGCTAATCGGGAAAAAAACAGAAAAATACGAGACCTAAAAATTAGGCTTAAAAGTCCTTTTATATATTAAAAATCTCTCGTTTTTAAAAAATCTGACTTGAAAAATAGAGTTCCAGAAGGCTTTGTTGCACAGGTGAGAAAGTAATTGAGGAACAGCCCCTAAATGGAACTGTGATGACATTTTATTTATTTATGAGGTTCATGTATATATATGCACGGTACCAAAGTGACGTAGATGGCGCATGATAGAGTAGCGGTGAATTTGTGATTCTAGTGAATGCGATTCGGGAACTTGTGTGCGTTGAACTTGTTTCCAAGACACACGCACACTCCGTCCTGACACACCGGCGCTCCACTGTCACATCTGCTCGCCGGAATGCAATCGGAGTTTGTACGGCACCGATCTTGCCCCACTGAAATCCCTGCCCACAAACAATTCATTTGTATCATATACAAGCTAGGTCACAACTCTCAAACAATATAATGTTCAAAATCTATATAATTATGTGTTTAGTATCAATAACAGAAATTCATATTTACCATAAAATGCAGATGTGGTAACAAGAACAAGAAAAAAAGTTGATAGGAGAGAATTTTTTCCCATGATTTCTTCCTTCTCAGAATTTCTGAAGAATGTGTCAAGAGAATTTTGCTTGTGCGTCTTGCAATATCAGTTCACCTCAAGTCATCTTAAATAATACGGTGATGGAGTCAATTATGGATAAAGATTTGTATTTGGTATTGTATTTTTCTATTCAAAAATTAATAATACTCCATCTCTCTCAAATTATAAAATATTTTTAAAAGAGATTCCGCATTTCAAAATATAATACAGTTTAACAAAAATAAAATTTTATTAATAATACTTTTATATTCTCTTTCTTTAATATTTTTTTATAAATGAAGTATTAAATAAATGAAATTTTTAGATGTTTATATTTTTATTTTGAAAAAATAAAATTGTAAGGTATATCTAATAAGCTTTATTGGTATATGTGATTTTATCTAAAAATGCTTTATAATTTAGGACAAAGAAAGTAGTATTCAATGAATTGTATTTTTTGATGTCATTAGTACGGAAAATGATAATAAAATCTTTTTGAATAATGTAAATAAATTTTTTTTTCTCGAAATGACATAATTCTCTTAAAGTCTTTAGAGACTTTTCTATCATTAAAAAATTAATATAAATAATTAAATTGCCCTTACTTTGAACTTACGAATTGTAATTAAATTCTTTTGATTTTAAGAAGAAAAGTTGTGAATTTTAAAACAAAACTTATGAATGATAATTGATATTTACAACACTTGAGGAATATCAAAATTTTAAATATGAATTTGTGAATTACTACTGAATTCTTATGATTTAAGAAGAAAAGTTATGAATCTTAGAGTAAAATTTATAAATAAAAATTGATATTTGAATTAAAGAAAATTTAGTCAATTATTTTAATTCTTGAATGATAGAAAACAAGACAAGTTTGATTCGACTTCAAAAAAATTATAACATTTTGAGAGATCAAAATGTCATTTATATAATTCAAAAAGGCTTTATTATCATTTTTTTAATTAACAATGTAGTACATTTTAATGTTGGCAAAAAAATGTAGTGCAATTTAATAATTGAAAAACTACATAATTGTAAATATTGCCATAGATGTTCATGATCTCCCAATATTTAAAAAAAAAATAGTTATGACATTCATGAATTACTGTATCCCATCCTCCTTCACAGCCATTCATGAATCTAAGTTATTCATCAAGTATTAGAATATTCATTCATACAGCATATATGAATGAATCTTTGATTTTCTTTCTTTTTTTTTAAAGAAATATACATTATTATGTTTGTATAGAGATATGTCCAATATGTGACCTAAAAGAGATATATACAATATAATTCATGTATTAATATTTAATGATTGGAGGCTTATAAATATATGATTATCTCAAATTCTTGTACACACGTATGAATAGATAAGAATGAGAAAGAACACTCCCATATTTGGCTATTTCTCCTCTCTCAAAATTTCTTTTAATCTTATCATATTGCTTATATTTTAATTAGTTTTAAAATAAATAATCAACAAATAATGTCTTAAAAGGGTCTGAACATGATTCAATATTTTTTACAGGAATGTGCAATATTCAATGTTAATAGTTTATAAAACATATAAGGTGACTCATTTAAGGCGTTACAAACTTACCCATATGTATGGGCATTCCTAGTGTAATTTAGTATAAGGTTGTGCATAATCAGTTAGTCAAGAAGATTGAATCAACTTATTTTATAATCTCGAGTTAATCAAGTATTGAAATAATTAAATAATTGAAAATTCTATAGATTTTAAATACATTATATAAATATTTTTGACGAGGAAATTAATTAGCTTCAGTGAACAATAATAAAAAGAGGATTTAAAAATAGGCTTTGCAAAGAAAATGATTGTTGAATAAAGATATGTCTTCAATATAATAGCATATATGCACAATAAACTTATTGAGAAACTATTACAAGACAAAATATCATTGAGAATAAAATGGTAAGATACATGATTAATTTTTTAAAAAAATCATTAAAGTATTATTTTTTAAAAAAATTATTAATTTATTTCTTTAAATTGTAACTACTGACTTGGGATCTGGTTCCACCACTGGGGTGGTTTCAGCTCAAATCGTGCCTAATAAGTACTCCTTGTTTGATTTAATATAAGATTCCCATGTTCTATTAAAAAAAATTAATTTTAAGCTTTAAAAAGATTAAAAACAAGAAGAGAAAACTCCCAGCCTTGAATTAAAACCATCTTACCAAAATTCCTGAGGAATGCCAGCGTCTGGATTGGCAAGTTTTTTCTTGTTTTGCGATATATATATATATATATATATATTTTTGTTTCTGTATATTTTTTAAAAGAAAAAAATAATAAGTATTGTCTTTTAGTTTAGTATTATGTATTATTGACTATGTATCATCATAAGTATTTGGTTAAAATATACTCGATGTCAGGGTATAACACTATATGTATGTATGTATGTATATATATATATATATATATATATTAAGTTTTGCTCATTAAATTTTTATGGTATAAAAATCATTAGTTGCTATGTTTATGATAAATCTTTTAACAATTTTTTCTCAATATAAATTATCATTAAATTGATAAAAATTTTGTCATTTTTATGAGTATTAAATGATTTAAATACATCATTGACATTTAGAGTTTTGTTTAATGTAATAAACTATATATTGCTTGCTTATTAAATTTATTATTTAATTTTTTTCAATTGATAAGTGTAGTGAACAAATATCTCAACACATTAATAATGCTCAATTGTCATAAAATCTTCATGTTAATAAGATCAAACTATATCAAAGTAAAAAATTCATATCATAAATTTTAATAGTTTGATTATTTTTTAAAAAAAGTAATTTTTTTCAAAAAAACACATTCACCAAACCTCTTAACTTTTAAATAAATAATTTTATAATAGTTATCAAGCATATAGCATTCAATATATTTTAAAATTTTTGTTGCAATACTTAACAAAATTTGTTAATAAAAATTCTCACAATTTCTTTATATAAAATGAAAGTAAAATAAAATGGCATCAATACTTTAAGAGCATGTATAGCATTATCTTGTTAAAAATGAGAAAATCCTATGACAATTATATCTTCAAACTAATAAAATAGTTGCTTTATATATAAGTAAAATACTGTATATGCCATTTAGTATTTCATAAATTCTATAATGTGCCAACTTAGAGGAGCTAAAAATATATAACACCTATACTTTATTAAGAAAAAATTAAAAAGTTAGGGAGAGCTATGGCCCCTATCAGTCCCCCTCTTTCTCTACCCTTGCCCGGCATCCTCAAACTTTGGATCACTTGCAAATCATTCCCATATCTCCATAAGTTTAAAACAATTAATAAAGACCCTCATATTTTTATACTTTAACTAAAAACTCTCTAAAATGACAAAATGACCCATAACGATTTTTTGCTTACCTAAAATTATTAAAGAG